AAAGTTCAAGGACTTATTTGTTCCAAAAAAAAGTTCAAGGACTTAATCATTCCAAACAAGAAAGTTCATTGGTTTTTATTGTACTTTTCCCTATAAATTATAATGTACGTGCATTCTATGATTAAAGTTCAGTCATAACAACCTCCCATGGAGAATTTCTCTGTCATGAATGATAATTAGGTTCTGTTTTAATATCAAATGCTTACTTTATGTCTATCCTGAGATAATGATACCTGCTCCCTGAAAGACAAACATTTTGATCACAAACCTGTAGTACTCTCCTAATTTTTATTGCATTTTCTTTTGGAAATATCTATTCCCTTCATCCCACAGTAAATGCATAAGTATCTTTTCCAGAATTAGATGCAATATTTTCCTTCTTCATGAAGCTTCAATCAAAATCACCTCTTTACCCATCAATAGTCATGACAGAACTTTGACAGCATTGATTTTGGTCATAGGATTTTTTCTATTTTGGCATTATTGAAGGGTGTTTTGATATTTGATTGAATATCAAAACCCTTCGTCAAAATACGTGCCACATCAAACATCACATTTATTTTAGGACGGAGGGAGTGCCATCAAACTGCTTAGCCTTTGTTTATTTGAAATTTGCCTTGGCAAGTGCAAACGTAGACAACTTGGTGCATGCCCTAAATAATGCATGTTACAACTATATTCTGATCAGTCTGTGGCTGTGTTCGTTTAATACGCAGCAGAAAGACGGAACATTTTGGGAGCAACAAAAGGGATTGTTTGATAAAAGTTCTCCAAGCTCTGACCAAAACTCATGGCAACCGTTTCCTGAGGCGGCACCAACTTTGACAAACAACTCGAAATCTGTTAGAACCAGAAATGGGCAGCAGAACAAGCAAGGTGGTGAAGTAGGTGGTGGCAACAGCAGTTGGAGTTTCGGAGCAGAAAGCTTTACAGCGGTTCCTGCTGCCAGCCCTCAGGTAAACGTATCTAGCCCCAGTTTGAATAACTCTCAGCGTTTTGGTGAGTCAAAAAACAAAGAAAGTAAGTCGGCTTCCCAACCTGCGGGATGGGCTGGGTTCTAGTCTTATCCTTGGTCGGAGATGTTATAGAAAATGTGTTGAACCCTGTGAAATATTTGAGAAAATTGGGTATAGGAAAGGGGAACACACTTGAAAGAAAACATTTATGGGCTTGTTTTTGTGGTGTTGCTATGTGTGTGTTTTGTATACAGATTGACGTTAAGAATGACTATCGGCTTTTCTTGTGTTTATACTCTGTTCATCTTATCCTGGTTAAACTTTGGTAGTGTGTTATTTAATTTCAATTCCACTCATACCGTGGCTATCCTTACAACTAAAATACAAACAAGTCTTGTGTTGTTACGAGCTTCATCTATCTCCCCACCGTTCGCATGCCAACCCTTGGGTCCAACATGGCACACAACGTACTAACATCTGACGTTTGAGCAAAAGGGTATGTAACCGGTAACTTCTGAGCCAGCCCACACGGTTTCCTTTGAAGAGTGTTACTTGAAAGATAAATCAAGTATGCAGCTAGGGCTGCATAAGGGGTTGGGTTGAAGGCATTTGAATAACCAAATTCAATGTTTACGGTTTGAAAAACCGAGCTGGGATCGGTTGGCGGGTTTAAAAAGGTGGTACATCATTTTACAATCTAGCTAAACGATTGTGTTTAAACGAGGTAAATCCGAAATGAGAAGATTGATATAGGCTAACAAACTGAAAACAGGAAGTTGAAGGTTCATGCAAATAAGAAAGTAAAGTTATGATTTAAAGTGAGATATAGCCGACTATAGTTGGTTTAAAGTCTAATGTAGATATATTAATTAAGGATTTAACAATCATATTAATTCATAATATAAACGATATCAAGTTCATCAAGTTAGGTTGGGTTCCAATAGCTTAACCCAATACATATGGTTTGAAGATTTTACAACTCGATTAAGTATCAAGTTGCTTTGGGGTTGGCAGCTCAGTTGAGTTAGTCGGCCCCTATGTGCATTGGTCTGTTAGGTGGATGGTAGAAGATGGCTGCTCTACGAGCTTCATCTACAAGTGAATTTGTGAAAAGAAAACATTGCAATTTTCACAAGACATCCGAAATAAATATTGTTGTAATTTTTCTTGATAAGTTGATTTGTAGTTTATTTGGTAACATATTTTAAATCATGAATGTTTTTAAAGACTTTTGGTTCTTAACTTCAACAGGGGGTTGAATAAAGATCCGATCATCTAATTATATGATATCCGACTTAATGGATCATATCTAAGGGGCTGTTTGGCAGTTGCTGAATGGTTTAGTGCAGTATGATTAAGTGGTCAGAATGATTAAGAGACTCTGTATGATTTAGTGTCAGATAGAAAAAGGTTGTTTGGAAACTGTTCTGAATCAACTGTCTGAATGACATAAAATTACCATTTTACCCTCAGTCTTATGTTTAATAAAAATTAACGTTTAACAACAATTCTGAAAGAAATTTCTAAATAAAAAATAAAAAATAATTAATGGTCCTCCATATAATTCTTATACCCAACAAAAAAATAAATACACATTCTTTATCCACCATATAATTTTAATACCCAACCTCTTGTTTTTGGTAAATGTGAAGTTCATTCCAAGCACCCCACCTCCAATGTCATCAATATTATAATATTACTYAAATTGTACCAAAACCGTGGGAGGGAATACATAAAACCATGGATTGTTTTAACTCCAAATTGTCATCTCAAAAGTGGTTTCTCCATCAAYCTAGAAGAAGCATCTGCAGGTTTGTTAAAATGCTTTTTCTATTTAGAACTCATGAGGTTTTCTTTTTCTTCTCCCTTTTGTTGAATCTATTTCTTCTCCCTTTTGTTTTCAACGATCATGTATAAACCCTTTGCTTTGGCTACTATTTGAATGTAAAAAACAGGGCCAAACACAGTGGCCAAAAATCTGTTGAAAAACAGGGCCAAACACAGCTATAGGGGCTGTTTGTGACCAAGCGAGACTGGTGACTGATGAAGAAGAAGAGAACGACGAGGGTTGCTGGCGATTCCTACAGATGAAGAAGAACAAGCGTCATATGGACTGATGAAGAAGAATAGAACGACGATTAGAGAAAAAAGGGAGGGTAAACCTGGAAAAATATGACATCTGAATCGTATGGAGGGCTAGAGGGTGAAGGAGCGAATCAGATGTAAAGTTTTCATTCAGACCTTTTTAAAAACCCATCCAAACAAGAAAATGTCTGACCGAATCAGACCTTAAAGTCTTAATGGTATCATTCAGACGTAAACAAACAGCCCCTAAGTTATTAGTTAATCAATTGTAAATCGTCACCTGTGATACAACTAAACCTAAAGAAACTGATCATGGAAGAAGTCACAAGTTTTATTATTGAAATCCATCACATAAAACATGACTCGGCTAAAAAACTTGTTGTCAACAAAACACCCACAATTCAAAATTATTGTCATAAAAAAATCAAATTTTTATTGATAAGAAAATGGGCACATCTTATATTATTTTGATAATATATTATTTAATAATAATACAAGTATTTTTTATGGTATCAGAAGAAGACCAAAATAGTCTGTGTTTAACGAATGGACTTTGCAGTCTAGTTTTCTTTTGTCTGTGCATTCGAGGGAAAATCTTTGTGCGGCCTACGGGTCCTCTCATGTAACATTTTCTTTTTAGACGTAGAAGCCAAATCTAGAAAAAGAAAAGCATACCATAAAGGTTTTTTTTATATAATAAAAGGAGTAGACAACTTCAAGAGTATAGGAACCAAACCAGTAATTTACTCTAAAATCAATACTATATCTTTAGAGTCAATAATTTTATATGAGAAACTACTGAACTCAATCACTTGATGTCGTTACCCTTTAGTTTTCTAGTTTAGAAACATTATAAAACTAAATTATTGTAAATTTAATTAGGTTCGTTAAGGGGTCGTTTATTAAACGCTTACCCCGGTAAGCGCTTACCAAGTAGCATTATCTCACCGGATGAATATTGTAAGGACCAAGAATCTTACCCGGTAAGAGCTGAGCCAAGGACCAAAAGTCTTACCCGGTAAGTGTGGGGTACGACTCTTACCACGGTAAATGCTTAATGAGTAAATTGGTGTATATGATGTCGTTTTGGTAGACTAAAATCTTATCCAAAAAGTAAATAATAATTTTAAATTTTACCGCTAAACATTTACCGGGTAATTGCCCAACATAGGGATGAACGGAAGAAATGAAGACGACTTGTCATAATTCCTCTCAAGAAACAAGATTGGGCTTTTGTTTGACTCACAAGTAGAAAGTCAAACCCTCAAAAGAGGCGGAACTCAAACCCAACAATTACAAAAAAAAAACGAGCAATTCACATATAGATCTCTTTCAAATCCGCGCCTCTCCCTTTTGTCATCACTCTCTTCTAAACTCCAAATCAAACCCTAATTCTCCCCAATCATTGCCTTCAAACCTTCAATCAATTCATTAAATTCGCATATAACCCCAATTTGACCGTACACACCCGAATCGAGGCTGAAATTGAGCTACCTTTTGATGATTACCTTTTTTTTGAAGTTCTTTTTTTGCGACAATAGGGTTTTTCTGCGCTTAATCCCTGTCGAATCTTGATAAATTCTTGCGTTTCTTTTGCAACCTGGCTATGGACTACGAACCCTACGATAGCAGCGGTGAGCTCTTAAATTTATAATGACCGATGTATATATATCTTAATTTAGGTTTAGCTACGATTTTGTGGTGAAGTTGTTATCGATCAGTATGCGCCACATTCCGCTTGATAATTTTACCAGCATTGTCTTTCTTGATTTTGTTTTGGTCGTTTTTTAAGCAAATTCAACACCATAAGCATTTTGAATTTCTTGCGTTGTGGGCTGGGAGTGACCAGAAGAAAGAAGGAAGTTTTGGTTGAATTTTATTTTAATTTTTTGTTTTCAATCAAAGGGATTGTAAAAGGAAAGAGAAAGTGAAGCTCAGTGTTTGGGTGGTGCAGGTGAACTGCTTTGTTTGCTTGGTAATAGATTGTGTTAACTCGGAGCTACATTACTGGTGTGTACGTGTGTGTATTAATTATACAGAGAAAGTGATAGAGCAATGTGTTGGTATTTGAACAGTTGAAGTAGGCAGTATATTATTGAGATGAACTGCTTTTTTCTTTTTTATAGGGTTGCCAAGTGTGAATTCAAAATTGGCTAGTTGTTAGTGCATTTTAAATGAAGTCCTTAACAGAATATGAATCATCAATCAAGTAGGACCCTTAGACATTGAGTAAGCTTCCTTTTGGTTTTAATATTGTTTCCTGTGTTTCTGACTTAGAAATTTGTAGGCCTATTTTGATATGTGGTCAACTGGCCATGTTGCATGACACACCATGTTTGACTAATATCCTCTACATCCCGCGGTCCACTTCTTGAACTGGGCTTCTTTTTGAACAAGGGGGAGGAAGGTCTAGAAAGCCCTTGTTATTGATGGGGCTCGAACAGCTCATTGCGAAGTAATACCAGCTCCAGAGGCATAGTTGGTGAAGGCCTGAAGGGACTAACAGAGCCTCTGTCATCAAATAATCTAATCTGGAGTTTGGAGTCTATTTTTGTAGTACGATTCTTTTTTTCTGGATGATCCATAAAAATGGTAAGGTGAATAACATGGATAGTAACCCTTCCATTCTTTTATTACATATCTTTCTTCTTTTTGGAGCTTATGCATTGTTGCCCCTCTTATGGAATCCTCAGCTCATGCTTGAAGTGGTAGAAAAGAGCATATTAGGAGCAATCATATCAATTTATATTGAGTAGGCATAATCCTTGTGTCGAAATCAAAGTTAGATGCAAATCACCAAAGTCTTGACCCCTCCCTCAGTTCCCAAACAAAGTAAAACAAACTAACTACATGCCTCTTTCTTGAATGTCCTGTGAAAATATATATTCCAATGGTAGCAGTCATAACTAATTAGTGTAGGATGCACTAAATGACTAATGCTTACTTTCAATCCCCTAAAACCTAAGTGCAAACCATGTGCGCATCTAAAGTAATAAGTATATGTTTTTAAATATAATCTATGCTTTACTTATATTTTTTTAGATCAAGTGCAACAGGAGAATGCCTCTCTATAGAATAATGTTGGCTTTGCTGGTGGGAGAGGCAGCAGTTTTGTATCCTTCATATATGCCTTGATGCAAGATAACTGCAGGGAAACAGAGTATATAGAATAGTTATTCATTACCCTTTCAAGGGAAAAGATTGCATCATGCTTCAGTTGGTCCCTCAGTTTCTGTTCTTAGCTGTTAGGTTTCAGTGCTTTGGATATTTAGAATTTACATACAATGATATTGCTTCATTTGCTTGCGGCTGGCCTTTTTCTTTTTCATTTTTAGCATTCATAGTTCATATGTTGCTTTCTGGTGCTAGACTTGGAGCCGATAATTACTTTTTGCTGATTATTTGGATTAATTGCAGGAACTGATGACGATCTTCCGCCGTCCCATCAAAATAGAATTCCAAGAGGTGGACGTGTTACAGGGAATGGAAGATCTGCAGTTATGGGTTCTGTGCAGTATCCTAGGATATATGGGGAAAATGATATGGAAGCCCAAATTCACCACCTTGAGCAAGAAGCATACAGTTCAGTTTTACGAGCCTTCAAAGCTCAAGCTGATGCAATTACTTGGGTATATGTTGTCATTATTTTTGCATGCATCTGATATCCGTATGTTTTCTTGATCAGGTTTGTAGTTAGTTGTTGACTCGCATGTATTTCTTCAGGAAAAGGAAAGTTTAATCACTGAACTTCGAAAAGAATTGAGATTATCAAATGAAGAGCACAGGGAGCTTTTGGGCAAAGTAAATGCAGACGATGTTATCCGGAGAATAAGGTCTGATAGTTTTACAAGACAAGCTTTGGCATTTTATGACGAAGACCTTGTTTGTATGATTTCTGCTATAACTTTGATCTTTCCTATTGTGAATGTGTTATATTTTGTGCCATGCCAATAGGGAGTGGAGACAATCCGGTGGGCTTCAACCTGGGATGCTCAACACAGGGCAAGCTGTTCATGATCCATTACCAAGTCCATCTGTCTCAGCATCTCGTAAGAAGCAGAAAATGAACCCCTCGGTACCTTCTCAATCGTTTAATGTGCCATCTCCGTCTTTTCATCCACAACCGATACCTGCACCAAACCAGCCATCTTCATCTTCTGCTCGACGAGCACCCATGACAGGGACGAAGGGGAAAAACAAGAAATCTGTAAGCTCAGATTCCTGATTTTGGTAGCATGTTACTATTATTGGTATTGTTTCTATATTATGTTCCTTCCCAAGTCACACATTTCTTTTGCTAGGGTCAGATGATGGGGGGAGCATCTTCCATGAAAATGCAGTACCCTCCAACAGGCCCAACTGGGAGGGGACAGCTTGGTAATCGTGTCAATCCTGGTGCACTTGCAAATGAGCCTGCTGAAACCTCATCATTGATTGGGAGAAAAGTGAGAACCAGGTGGCCTGATGACAACAATTTCTATGAAGCTGTTATAACAGACTACAATCCTAATGAGGTAATTTGGTTTTCCAACATGCATGCATTGATTGCCTTCTACCAACCCCAAATTTTTACTGAAAGCCTCTGTATGCAAACTTCAGGGTCGGCATGCTCTAGTTTATGATATTGGTACTGGAAATGAGACATGGGAGTGGGTCAATCTTGCAGAAGTAAGTGTATAAATTCTCGAATTGAACTTGAAGCATAATAAATGTGTTAGATGCAATGAATGCATGACTGGTGTATATTTACGTGATATCTGGTCCAGGAATAGATGCTCTGCTAATACTTGTTTTTGTTTCTATTTTATTTGTTAATTTATACAATGTTTGTATAGATGGTTAGCAACTCTTCTCTTTATGCTGTGCTTCCATGTTTGGAAAGAGAAAATGGGGTGAAGAAGGTTGTGTAATTGGGATGGGCTTTATGTTCATAGCTCATCCATCAATTAGTTGTCTTAAGCAGGATATGAGAATTCTGGCCGTGATGATCAACCGGAGATTTCATGGATCATGTAAATGATTCCATCATTATTTTTTTTAGATTTATTCAACAAAGAGCCTCCGGAGCAGATTCTGGGATACAATTGCATCTTTGGCCAGTTCACTCACATCTTCATACATGTGAATGACATGTTGATTTTTGTGCTGATCTGCTACATGTTTATGGTGTTATCGAGATTAGGATGGTCTGCTTCTGCAGGAGATATTTAAGTATATAACCTTAATTTAGATTCTAATTAAATCCATGACATTTAAGCATCTCATTGCTTTATTGGTCATGTATTGACAACGGGAATGGAACACTATGTTGTACGTCAAACAGATTGTGGCACTGTTCGAGGTATTTCTGTAAGTCCTYGAAATGGGATGATGACGGACAGGATTTTTATCCAATCATTAGTTGGGCGTGTCTTAGCAAATGCCTTCTGATGAGTATGGAGCCATTTTTCATTTAATAGACCAGGAGGTCATGGATTTAATATTGAAACCCAGCCAGTTTTGGAGCAGCTTTATGATAATGAAACCAACCAGCAAAAAGCATTAAAATCTCCATTTAAGGTTATATACCGAAAGTCACCTCTTCCGACAGAGACTTATGTTGGTTGGTGTGTGGTAGCAACTGTAATCGGATATTAGCAATTCTGTTATCTGCAAATCCTGCATCAACACTTCTGTTGACTATAAACTCTTCTTTTCATATTCTACTTGATGTATCGATTTTGACATTTTAATGTCAAATGTTTGGAATTCAACATGAACTTGATTCTTTTACATTTTTGTGACAATGTTTTTCCAATTTCAGAAATATTTGTATGCTTTAATGTATCTAGCAAATTCTAATTGAAAATTTCATTTCAGTTTGAGGTGGGAAAATAGGTGTTTTGAAACTTGAAAGTCAAAAGGGACTTTAAAGTAGAATAGAGGGAGCAATTACTTATGTTGATGTGGTCCCATAAATGGTACCCTCTTCTGTTCCCATTTCCTAACATGTAGTCAAAGAATTCTGTTAAAAAATATTATTAGGTTAGTTTGGAAAATTGAAAGAGGAGAGTATGTTTTTGGAGATGGGATGTGATGTGAACTGGATGCATTGCGTCCTAATATTATGGTTTTGAAGTGGTGTATCTCAGGTTCTTTAGTAATTCTACTCCCATTGTTTTTTGTGGAAGTCTTTAGGATGTGATTAATTTATTATTCATACTTATTTTTGTAATTAAAGGCAGAGGGCAGGGGTTTGACAAAATGGCTTTACGGGTTTAGATGAGTGGAAGCAGTCTTCCATTGATGTACCTAGTGGATGTGATTTCTCCTGTGATGTGAACTTGATGATATCGTTTCTAACCCTGGTGGTTGTTATATTTATAGTTCAGTTTGAATTCTTGTTTCTACATGCTAATTTTCTAGACATTATATTTACATTGTGGACTACTATTTATAACTACATATCGTTCTTCAAGCATTTCATCTCAGAGCCTGTTAATCTTCCTTAAATGCTGTTAATTAAAATTAATACTGTTGGTTTCTTGGATCTTAATATGCAGATATCTCCAGAGGATATACAATGGGAAGGTGAGGACCCTGGGATTCCTCATAAAGGCGGGTATGGTCATGGAATGAGTAGAGCTGTTGGTCAAGGTGGAGGAAGAGGTAGAGGGATGTCAAAGGGTCAAACAAGAAAGGATTTTCCACCATCACAGAATGGCATAGGAAAGAAGGGTCTGGATGATATTCAATTACTTCACACAGATACTCTAATAAAGGAGGTAGAAACAATTTGGATGGATTGTAGATACTTATTTTCTCTTTTACTATAATAGTTGTTAATTCAATGGATGAATATGTGCACAGGTGGAGAGGGTATTCGGGTCTAGTCATCCAGATCCTCTTGAAATAGAGAAAGCTAAGAAAGCGTTGAAGGTTAGGAACACAAGTTTTCAGAGTCGGTTTCTTCCCAATTTGGTTGAAATATGTGATGAATGAATGATTGTTGTAATGCAGGAACATGAAGCAGCACTTACGGATGCCATTGCCAGGCTTGCAGATATATCTGATGGTGAAAGTGGTACAAACTCATTTAACTCTAGTACGGTTTTGATCTCATTTCTGTAATAATGAAAGGACGTTTATGTTACGTATTACAGAAGAAGGTGGGCGATTGATGCGTGGACAGGCAATGGATCGAGGATAATGGAAAGTTACAAGAAATAGGTAGCGCAATACTAACGGTTAATGGGGTGGGAATAGATGTGTATTTTTACTTAGATTTAGGGATAGAAGATTGCAATATGAGAATAGGAGGCATTTGCATTGTAAAGTAGTAAAGTTAGGCCTTATATAATTTATTACATAATGGTTGGAGAAAGGGGTATAAATTCATTTGGTGTACAATCTCTTTTCTTGGAGGTATTTCTTGCATCAGAGTCTCTTCAAATTCTATGTGCCAACTCAACATCATGGATTTTGAAATGGCAGATATGTTGAATTATGCTTTTGGTCCCTGTAATATGTCAAAATTTATGACTAGCATCCCTATATTCCATTAGTTACAGATGTGGTCCCTGTAGTATATGGTCATGGTCCTTATTAATAGAGTAATTCACTCTCTCTTTTTTTTTTTTTTTTTTATAACTATTTTATTTAATGGAATCATAAATAATTATGTTTAATGAGTACTAAATGGAAGTAACAAAATGTATTTGATATTATTATATTAAATTCTAAACGATTATAATGTGGGAAACTTTTAAAATAGTTAATGATGTAATTACTGGGAATCTGGGTTTTATGGTTATATATAATTAGGATAAAAATTTAGATTGTGTTTTCAAGATCATTTTTTAAATACGGTTTTTTGTCCCTCTAATGCCTTGGGTTAACACGAAATTAGTACCGGCATAATTTAGAAATTTCATATGCGAAATAAGGCATTGATTTCATACACACACACATATATATATATATATATACATATATATATATATATATCAGATCACAAATTTGTGTATTTATAAGAGAGATCGGCAGTTACAAATGGTTAAACGGTAATAACTGCTAATGGACAAGATCAAAGAGAAGTTACAATCGAATTAGAGTTCAAAATCGGAGCCTGACTCCATTTGGGATTAAGGGGTTGTTCGGTTCGTTTTTTGTTGAGACCTGTATAGATATAGCTGTCTGTATTGATATAGTTGTATGTATATTAATAGATAAGTTGTTCCGTCGTTGTATTGAATGAATAGTCAGAATGTCAGAAATGACCATTTTACCCTTTAGTCTATATCTTTTATCAATAACTATATATTGTTTCCAATCTAATTGATCTGGATTTTTTCAAACCTAATGTTAAAAATGGGGATTTTCCAGACGTATAATGGTGAGGAAGAGACCCTAATCTTCGTAACCACTTATCTATCTCTCGATCGTTTATCATTTTAAGGGAACGATATGCCAACGAGAACTACCAGATCGGTGTCGCAAGATTGGGAGCCAATCGTGCTCCATAAATCCAGACCGAAGTCAGAGGTCCTTCGTGATCCCAAGGCCGTGAACCAGGCCCTCCGATCCCGCGCAAAGCTTGATGAGGTCGCCGAGCCAGCAACACTTGGCAGGGTGTCGCCGGAAGTGAGACAGTTGATTCAGAAGGCGAGGATAGATAAGAAGATTAGCCAGGATGATCTCGCGAAGCAGATCAACGAGAGGCCTGTGGTTGTTCAGGAGTCCGAGAACGGGAAAGTAGATCAACGCCAGGCTAATGTTGACAGTTGTTGAAGATATGTTTCTTTGATTCCATTCCGACCCTCCAATGAGAAGTGAGACGACGATGTTGTAGGTCGGAGCAGATGAGGAGAAGGAGGCAATGTGTTGAGGGAGGAGTGGTTATGGAGAGGGGTAGTTGAGGAAAGTTAATAGCTGAATACGAAGGACATCAGTTTTGTAGCTGAGTGGTTTAACCATGGGCTGACCAAATAAGCCCATACTCAACAACTAAATATGGCTATGTGAAATAAGCCATATGGCTTATACAGTCCATTAAGCCTCAACGGAACAGTCCGTAAGTCTGATACCAAACCACAAGTCTGAATAGAAGGTTTAGACATTTGAGTCCATTCATTCTGACTTTCGACTTGGCTTACAACAAGTTCAAACACAAGGTTTAGATCTTTTACTTCATTAGTCCAGGCTTAGGACTTGGCTAATTTCTTTAATCTGAAACCACATTTCAGATGTTATAGAAGGATCAAATGTCTAAATCCATTATCAGACTTTACACTTAGGTGGCGTTTGTTTTTTAAGAGATGCTGAAGTCTGAAGTCTGAATTCACTTCTGAATTTTAAGAGGTGGTGCTGAAGTCTGAAATTTGAATCAGTCAGACTGTTTGTTTTTACGTCTGAAATCTGAAAAGTGATCTTTTTTTTTTCCTGTGAAACTTAATTTGGAATTTTGTTGAAGGCTTTTTAGTTTAATGACAAACTCAATTTGCAAGTTTTACATACAATTTCATGATTTCAATAATATTTTTTAACTCAATAATTTGTAAAGGAAATAATCATATACCCATTAGAAGCCCTTTCTCTCTATCTCTCTATTTCTCTCTCTCTCTCTGAAAGCTTAAATCCCTCCCTACCACCACCGCCTCCCCCGCCGCTTCTCGTTTCCCTCCGTCGAAATCCAGGTCGCTGATTTTGAACGAATACCAGATGGAAAATAGGGTTTGGAATCGCCTCCTTCTACCGACAGTCCAGAAGAGCAATCCGATGGAAATCGATGCGAGAGAAAAGGTTTGGAATCGAAATCGAAATCAAATTTGAAATCGGATACAAGTCCACGCGCTGAGGTTCATAAACAAAAGGATTTGAAAGCCAAATCTGGAACCGGTTCTTCTAAGGGAGCGTATGCAGTAGGCGAAGGTGATTAAGAGGTTTTCAGACTTTAGTTTACCTCTGAATAAATCAGACCTATTCAGATGTTTTAAGCACTTAATTTAAAAAACAAACAAACGCACTTAATACCTCAATGTCTGACCGATTCAAACATAAGAGGCAATTAAGTGCTTTTTTTTGAAAAACAAACAAGGCCTTAGTGAAAATTTTACTAAGGGGCTGTTTGGTTGCCTCTTAATGATGATATTAAGAGGAAACCTCTTAATCGGTCAGAGATACAAGCTGTTTGGCAAAAAAATAAGAAGCTCTTAACCATGACAAAATCCTCTTAACGATTTAGGGGTTAGGGGGCTCCTAAATGGTTCAGACGTATGTTCTTCCATTTTTGCCCTCTCAACCTTTTCCAGCCATGTTCCTTCCTCCTTCCAATCGATCTCGTCGCCTCCCACTCCTTTCACCTTCCTCCTTCCAATCGATCTCGTCGCCTCCCACTCCTTTCACCTTCCTCCTTCCAATCGATCTGTGGAAGGAAATCAAACCCACAAAAAGTTTGTTCTTTATTGAAATCAAAATCAAATCATAGAACCCAAAAATAAAATCTTGTTGGTCACCGGAACAGTCGATCGAAGCTGGCGACGGAGGTAAGGCAGAGGCGAAAGGCTGGCGACGGAAAGGGATGGCTGAGGCGGAAGGCGAGAGCGGCAGCTAAGGCTGGCGACGGAGGGAAGGAGAGATGGTAGGAGAACGGAAAGGACCGACGACGACCAAACGTCCCTTCAACTCCGACGACGACCAAACATAAGCAAGTTTATGTGAAGATTGTTGAGGTTGAAAGTCTGCAAATTTGCGTGAGAAGGAGAGAGAGAGAGCCAGAGAGGGAGGAAGAGATAAAGTGGTAGTGGAGGCTATGTATATCCATATGTGATTTTTTTATTTATTTATAATTTAATTTAAATTAATATTATTAAGGGTTAAAATGGTAATTTGTTATTATTCAGAAAAAATTTACCAAACAACCATATTTCATTCAGCAACCATTCTGACCTTCTTAGCCATTCTGACCTCTTAACTATTCTACACTAAATCATTCAGCAACTGCCAAACAGCCCCTAAGTTCGACTCTTCATAAATTCCAAAAACCTCGGGGTGCTGCCCCTCGACCCCGGCTTTATGGCGATCTAAGATGACAGTGGCAACATCTGTGAGTCTGCACTCCACAACCCTTACTCACTTATGTTTGTCTCATCATCTTAATCGATCTCCAGTAAACCATAATTACACCAAATTACCAAAATGGTTAATGACACTAAAATCGCCAACAATAATTACATTGACGTATATGATAATTAGATAACCAACGTGAAACTCTAGAATGTAAATTGTAATTTCATTGACGTGGATGACCTAACTATTATTCATCGTCCATGTTTTTGAAGTATGTTATCAAGTTCTTACAGAAAAAGATGATGTAATACACAAGGTTGAACGTGTGCAAGAAAACTCAAAAACTAGTAAAGTCGACCTATTAAAAACAGTTGTTCCTGTTAAATATAGTTTTTGAAAATGATTAGTCAAATCTTAATCAATTAAGACCATATTTTCTTTTTAAAAAACGACATCTGACACTCTTTCATAGGTCAAAACGATATCACAGATTTGTAGGGTCCGCCCCTTATTATACTATAATCTGGTATTATTCGGTGTTCTACTTCTCTTCATTTCATATAGTTTGGTGTTTCAATTTCATTTGTGTTTCCATGATCCCATCTTATTTCAATTTCATAAGAGATGGCATCACATCATCTGATAACAAATGTCGGTTCTCAAGTGAGCTCTTTAGTTAACAATCATGCCATTGAAATAATCGTTGACCCTGATTGAAAAACACCCATTTGACAACATTACAACTTTTTTTTTATTAACCTAGATATCCAACCCGTTATGCGAGCCGACTAATCACAGGGTGACCACCTGGTTTGCCAATAATCCGGAGTAGGTGGTCGCACTAAGATTAGTCGGCTCGCATAACGGGTTGGATGTCCAGGTTAATAAAAAAAAGTTGTAATGTGAAAGAAGCGATGCATAAATTTTGATATGATTCTTACGATGGAGGGAAATTCCACTTCAAGTGACAATAAATACATTAATTTCATTTTATAAATATGTGAATAATATTATATAATTATTAGTGAATAAAGAATATACTTATTTCATTTTATCTATGTTCAATAATAGTGCAATTAAAAAATAATTTAGTAAGGTAATAAATAGCTTTTTTAATAACGTAAAAGAACTAAAGTTATTAATTACAAACATCTATACTATATTATAAAACATTTGATAAAAACTTTTAAAAACTATTTTTTATGCATGAAGTATTATATATTGATGCATATTATTTAACTTAAGATTACGAAGAATTTTGCATGAGTACAACTTATTAAAGCTCCATTTTTAAATTCGTGTAACTAACTGCAGATAAATATAATCAAATATAGAATAAACACTCATTTTAAATATAAAAAATATAAAATATAATTAAGATAATCATTAGATTCTAACAGAATATTTAATTATTGTTTTTATAAAAAATTATATTATTAAACCAAAAATAAATTACTTTGCTATAAAATCTAAATTAACTTATAATAAAAAATTGAATTAAAGAAGTTACACACAAAAAAACGAGAACTATTAGATAGTTTATTTGACACTAATATCGATTTTTTTTTCTTCAAAATTTTATGATATCTTCAAATTTATATTTCATTCAAAAATAAAAACATTATCGTTTTCTCAAAACCACATAAAATCGTATTATATCGATAAATACAGAATAAAAACTAAATATTAAAATAAAGATTTATCTCGCTGCATTGCGCGAGTACTGTTCTAGTATTTAATAACATATTTAGTAAAAAAAAATGTGTTACTTTTTATTAAGTTAATATTTACATAATATTGCACTTTTTTATTATAATGTAAATTTATGCTTACGTTTTCTTTATAAATACTATATTATAAAATATTTGACAAAAACTCTTAAAAATTATTTTTTATTATAATGTAAAATTTATGCCGACATTTCTTTCCAAAACTCTGTTGGACCTTCAATATCTCTCTGTCTTTTAATAAAGTTCAGAAATCTATCTCTTCATTGATTATAGTCACCTCTAAACAAAACTGGTGGTTTTGTATATGTACCTATAGTTATTGCCTCTCTTGATGTCATTTTCACAATTGATTAACTCTTGATTTTAAAAAACAGTTATTCAACACTCATCGCCCAACAAGTATCTTAATCGGACAATACTGCTTATCTTCTAACTCTTGTTATTGGACAACACTTCTTATCACACAACAAAGCTTATCGCACAACAACCTTATCGCTCAATTCCTTGCCTCTCACACTTGCTTATCGCCCAACTCCCTTATCGCTCAACTCCTTATCGGACCAGAAACACTTATCGCTCAACACTCAAGCGATGAGGACTTCATCGGACAATACAGTGAGCGATGAAAAAGGGGTTATCGCTCAACGCTTTGAGCGGTGAAGAAGGAGTGTCCCTCAATTTTTGAGATATGTCAAAAATACAAGTTCAATGGGCGATGAATGGATTATCGCCTACAATGCTAAGCGATGAAGATAAGAAATCGGACAATACACGTATTCAACAAGCGATGAAACACCTTATTGCTCGATGAATGTATTCAACAAACGATTAAGAAGCAGTTTACCAAACTATGCATAAATCGATTCAAACACACTCAAAATCAATCAAATTTGAACAAAGCTTGCACAGATTGACTCGAAAATTGTCCAAAAACATATTTTGAAACTAATTCTTAACAAAAACATATTAAACTAGTCGAATTCGAATTGAAACTCAAGAACATTCAAGAACAGTTTCAAGACTTTACGAATTATACAAATCGAAAAATTGAAACTCTAAATCAATTCGATTATAAAATTGATTGATTCCAACACACTTAGATATGAATTTCGAACAGACTTCAATCATATTCACTCACAAATTCAAACAGATTAATGAATTCAGAATCAAAACAGTAGCAAGGTGTTCAACAAAAAACGTAAGTCCAATAACCAAATTCAATCTAAAACAATTGAAATCTGATTCTCCAGTCATTGTTTCCTGCTCTGATACCAATTGATAAACCCAGATTCAATCAACCAAACACATGAACATCAAGATACATGAATTCAACAATGATAGGTTATAAAGTAGAAAGAGAGAATATTTCGTCAAAGGTTTCTTTGTATTGAAAATCTTCAAAGATTACAATTCAGGTACGGTTACAAAGCTACTTTAAGATCTAAATCTACCAACCTATTTATACAAGAAAATTACGAAGGAATAAAAGGCTTGAATACAACATTTTAGTACAAAGCATTAACCCGACAGACGCTATCACTGGCCCAAGTTGGGGCATTGCTACGAAAGAAGAACTCATTGAGTTTGATAGAAACCAAGTCTGGTACCTTGTCTCGCGTCAATCTGACAAAACTGTGATAGACACCTAGTGAGTTTATTGCAATAAGTTGGATGAGCAAGGAATTGTAACCCGAAACAAGACTCGTCTTGTTACTTAGGGATACAGGAAAGAAGAAAGAATCGACTATGATGAAACCTTCGCACCAGTGACTAGACTCGAAACAATTCAATTCTTTCTAGCTTATGCTGCCCATAGAAATTTTAGGGTGCGTTTGGTGCGCAGACATGACAGGACAGGACGGGACAGGACAGGACAGGACAGGACAACTATTCAGCGTTTGGTAAGACATGACAGGACAGGACGGGACATGACAGGACATGACAGCTATTCAACGTTTGGTAAGACATGACAGGACAGGACTGGTTAAAATGATCAATTTACCCTCAGTGAGCTGTTTAGTGTTTTTTCACCAAAATCAATCTTACTGCAAAATGTATTGTTTCCATATGATCTTGATCCGATATCCATATACACTACAAACAATCCCATTGCAATTTGAATTGCCAGATCTTGATTAAACAGCCGATTTTTGCAAAGCAAACCCTAAATCGATTCAAACCTAGCAAACCCTAAATCAATTCAAGGCTAGTAAACCCTAAATCGATTCAAACCCTAAATCGATTTTTGCAATTTGACTGTGTGTATGGACTACGGTGGATGCTGTGAAGAAATCGATGCTATGAAGAAGACGACGAAACAATAGACAAAATCCAAACACCCGGTTCATGATTCAACTAAAAATACAAAATCAATAAAAAATCATTTCGAATTTCATCAAATAGAACAAACCCCAGTTCGTGAAATCCAAATAGAAAACATAGAAAATCGAGAGAAATTGACCGTACCTTTGTTCTTGGATGCTGTGAAGAAATCGATGCTATGAAGAAGACGACGAAACAGTAGGCAAAATCCAAACACTCGGTTCAGATCGATGGAGAAGAAGACGACGACGAAGGTAGAGATCGATGGAGATGGAGGTGGACTGTGAAGAAATCGATGGAGAAGAAGACGATGAAGATGGAGATGGAGATCGATGGGTATATTTGTCAAATATGTCTTGTTCCACTTAGTTCCAGGGAGGGTGAGGGTGAACAGGCTTGTCCCATGCGTGTTCCACTTAGTTCCATTTAGTTCCACTTAGAAACACGTCAAACATGGGACAAGTGTGTCCTGTCCTGTCCCACCCTGTTCCATGTACCAAACGCACCCTTAAAGTCTATCAAATGGATATAAAGAGCACTTTTCTGAATGGAAAACTTTAGGAGGAAATTTATGTTGAACAACCTCCAGGATTTCTTGACTCCAAATATCCTAATCATGTCTATAGATTAGATAAAGTTATTTATGGGTTAAAACAGGCCCCTCGTGCCTGGTATGACACCTTTTTTTTATTTCTCATCTCTGAGAAATTTGTTCGTGAAAAGATTGACTAGACTATATTTCTTAGGAAAGTCAAGGGTCGTATCATTCTAGTCCAAATTTATGTTGATGATATTATATTTGGTTCCATTAATCCCTTTTTGTGTTTTCGGTTCGCTAAACATATGAAGACTGAATATCAGATGAGCATGATGAGAGAACTGACTTACTTTCTAGGTCTTCAGATCAAACAATTAGATTAAGGTATCTTTATCGATCAGAGTAAGTATGTCAGGGATATGTTGAAGAAATTTGTCTTAACCAACAATTCATCTATGAAGACTCCAATGACTCATCCTCTTTCATTGAACAAGGATTCCTACGGAAAACCTATAAACATTACTGTTAATAGAGGAAATGAGGAATTATAGGCTCCCTGTTGTATCTCATAGCTAGCCGACCTAATATTATGTATTCTACCTGTTGTATCTTACTTCATGTGTATCACAATGTATTTTATTTGTTTTATGAAATATATCATAATGTGCATTTTCATTATTTTCATTGATTTACAAAGGGTATCACATTTTGTATCTTGTATGTGTATCCGAGTATCACAGTGAATACCATTTGTAGGTATCACAGTGTGTATCTTGTGTTCACATAAAAGTCATCAGAATAAGGTTCGCCGAATAAGATTAGCCGGAGAAAGGAAATAGGAGATATGAGAGAGGATATTTATAAAATCCCTAAAATGTTCTTATTAATATTTTAAGTTAAAATTACCAAAATTACTAATTTCCTTATTTAATATTTGATTTGTAGTTGAGATCGGATCTCATAGTTACCACAAACGAAACAGTTCTTATTTGATTGGGCCCATATATAAGGAAAGGTTCATTTGAGAATTGGTAAATATTTGAGAAGTAAAAAGTTATCCTAGCCATTTATCTGGTCAATATTTTTGCCTTTAACCGTGAAGCACTAAATAATTCCTCGCATGAATATGCAGAAGATGGAGTAGTAGTTTCATAACTTTTACAAATAAGCGACAAACGGGTTCATATGTAAATTTATGTGATTCACATGTGAACTATATGTTCATATCTGAACTCGTTAATTAGTTCATATCTGAACTCGTTAATTAGTTCACATGTGAACTATTTAATTGATTCATATATGAACCAACATGTTCGTATGTGAATCAGTTTATACGTGAGCTAAATAATTAGTTCAAATGTGAATATACGAGTTCACATATCTACATGCAGTTTATATGTGAATACACGGTTCACATATCAAAATATAGTTCACATGCGAATTACATAGATTCAAATATGAATTCGTTTGCCGCCTATTTGTAAAAGTTACGAAATTAGCCTCTATTTTTCGCATAGCCGTAATTATTGACCAGTCAAAGCCACAAATATTGAACAGTCAAATCCGATCTTTACCGTATGAATGACTAAGATCACTTATTTACTTCTGAAATATTTACCATTTATAAGAATATCCATTGCCTATATATATAATAAAAAAATGAAATTCGCTTAATTAACATATATTATTTAATTTTGTAAATATCTTCTTTGTATTAATATACGTATTATATTATTAGAGATTTATTTTAATTTTATTATGAAATATTATAATTGATTAAATTTTCAAGATGTTTTTTGATCATTTTATATGTTTATAAGTTATTTTTTACCAAATATAATTTATTTATCAGCTAACTAGTCTATTAGGTACCAACGTAAATCTAATTTGCCAATCATACTCATAATTAGGGGTGCTCATGGGTTGGGTGATCGGGTTGAAGACATTTAAACAACCCAACCCAATACTTGCGGTTTGAAAAATCTTAACTCAATCCAACCGGAACCAAAGTGCAACCCAGCCCAACCTAACCCAACCCAACCTAACCCAACCCAACCCGTACGGTTTGGTCGGGTTAATACTGTGGTATATTAAAATATTCTTCTAACCTAGAATATGTTATTCTCTAATCATAATTTCTTTTTCATTATCAACCATTTGATACAACTTATCCATACTTCTTACGTATATCAGATTCAGTTAATTTTCTTAATTTACATATATATGTTCACAGTTACTAAACATATATACGGATAAGTTATATAAATATGTGAATAGATTGAAAATATGTGTATATGAAGAGCATACATGATAGTGTAATTTTCTAATATACATATTAATGGAAATTCAACAATCATATTAAATCCAAGAAATAAAACGATATCGGGTTCATCGGGTTGGGTTAGGTTCAAATTATAGTAATCCAATATCAACCAAATACATACGGTTTGACAATTTTACAACCCGATTAGATATCGGGTTACTTCAGATTAAGTTATTTCGTGTTGAGTTAAGTTAGGTTGGGTTGATTTGGTTTTTGAGCCCCTCTACCCATAATCCTGTTTTTAATTTGTGATAGAAAATAAAATATTCTCTTTGATCAAATCAAAGGTAGTGGCCCAATTGCTGGACGAGGCCCAATTGTTTGTTGAACAGCGCGGGCGGGCTCGTTTCCAAAAACTTAACCTATTTGAATCGAAAATTTTCAGTTCCGACAAACCGCCTCTTTCCTTTCCCATCTACCAAACCCTAGGGTTTTCCTGTCGTCTTCTCTATTTCTACGATCTGCAGATTTCTTTGGCGATTGCAACTTCATATATACAAGAACGCAATCGAAGATGAAGGTCTAAGGTCTCCTAGCTTGAAGTTCTTGTTCAAATTTGAAATTGGAATGGACTTCGGGGGGCGTAAGAGAGGCAGACAAGATGGTGGTTGGAATGGAGCTCCTAAGAGGGCAAGAGACGGTTAGTATTGTATTCAATTTATGCTGTAAACTTTTTGATGTTTTCTCCATGGTTATTTCTGGTATTATCGTTTTCTCGTGTTCTCGGATCTGTATTTGTATTTGTTCGTGGAAATTTATTTCTTTTTATTCTAATGATGAATTTTGCTCTCAAATATGAATTTTAATTTTTTATGCTTATATATATATATATATATATATTCCTGTGTCTAGATATTGAGTTAACGATTCTTGATTCGTAGGAATTTGTGGTTGAGTTTCAATTTGCTCAGCAAGAAACCTTGGAACTCTGATTTATGCATTGGTTAATCGTATTGAATTACATGTTGAGAAACACAACTAGAAACTATTTGTTTTGAAAACCGGATTATGGATAAACTCACAACAGATATTGGTTTAAAAAGTTTTGCCCTTTACCATCATCATATGTTTATTTATTGTGGGATCATGCTTTTGACCCATTTATCTTAAAACATGGAACAACACTTGGTAGAAATCTTCAGGGGTTCAAGAATCATGTACCTTTTTACCTTTTTGGGGCAACAAATTTTTGTGGGACAAACTCAAATGCAGAGTAAATGTTCTTTTTTCCCTTCAATCAATCTTATCTTGAGTCAGTAGCTTGAACGAACAATGAAGACGGTATATTAAATTTGGTATAAATGTTGTAACTAATTGAGGTTCATTGTTAACCATGTGGTTAATAATTGTAATGATATGGTTCTAACTAATAAAATAATCTGATGTTACTTGAAAGATTTATAATTCAAGTAAGAAGTTGTTCAAATATCAACTGAAACAAAGTAATTAATCTTCTGTAACAGAAATGGAGTCCTTTACACCTGGTGTAGGAAGCAAATCAAAGCCATGCACGAAGTTTTTCAGGTTAAAATCTTAACCTATACAAGACAAGTATATTACAATTGTCTAAAATTTAACAATGTATATCCAAGTTTGTGTAACATCTAATAAGATCATGTGATAAAATTGAGAGCAAGATTTTAAGGTAGGGTGGCTGTGGCAAAAGCTGCAATATTGATCAAGATTAAAAATTTAACATGTAAAAACTACTGGTTAAGATTACTATTATTTTACTATCGATCACCTAGATGGTTAGCTGGAAATGCTAATTGGTAATGCAATATTCTTGAAGTTCATTTTTTTTATTCTGGCTGCATTGCATATGTGTTTATGTACCATTTAGAAGTAGATTTATATCATTTTCTGATTTGCAGCAGCATTTTAGTCCTCATGTAACCTTCTGTCTATAGATTCACTATTACATATAATGTTCTGTTTGTATACCATGCTCTTAAGTTATTTTACATGAACTCTGTTTGGTAAAATCAGTTGACTTTCATGTGCAGAAATCAGTTGACCCTGTTTGCAAAAAACCTTCCACTATACAAGATGAAAGTCAACTGATTTTTGCTAACAGTCCATGAAAAAAAATATATTATATCATGTGTATGCTGAGAACATTATATGTATGAGTGAGTCTAGAGTGGGGGCTGCTTCTTTGAGTCTTTTTAGTCCCAAAATGTTATCATTTCGTGTCTTGTGGTTGTGGATAATTTGGTGGTGGGCATATCTGCTACATTATAACCAAGCATGAAAGTGAATGGAGTCATACGGATTTTTAGATACGTCTATCTAGTATTCTTTTGTCTGCCAGGGTAACTTTATATGATTTCGGATACTTTTTATTGGTTATACCATTTGATGTGTAGGTCATTGTCCAATTCAAGTTGTTTAATAAGCTATGGTTTTTCTCTTTTGTTTATTGAAGTATCATGTATAGTTCAGCTTTGTTTGAAGTGCTAAGGTCTTTTTCACTTGCTGAGTAACATTCAATTAACATGAATGGCATACACAATTGATACTTGGTTGGTGCCAGTTTAATTATCGTTGATTAGCCAGTGTATTGATGTCACAACATTTAATTAACCTTAAGCCTGCAAACAAAGTAAATGAAGAGACAAGCAGAGAAGATGAGTACGTGTAACTGAAGTATAGCAAATGTATTAATGTAGAATGTTTGATCATCTTTGTATTTTGGGTAGTATATGAATTAAGAAAGATGTTTGATGATGCAGATTTTGTTTTGTTTGATATTGTTTTTTTGTTCATAATCAACCTGCTCACTTCTTTGAATCGTGTTTCTCATGCACTTCACACCTTGCATCTCATTAGCTGAAATGTGTGGCTTGTTGAGGTTTACCCCTTTAAGTTGCTTCTTGATGGGCCCCATTTCTAGGTTTGTCGTTCCACAGAAGTTGTATAGATGGGTTTTTGAACCTTCTCAAGGACAGTAAAAGAATGGGTGTTTTCTTTGTAGCTGTTGATTTTTCTTATGTGCAAACATTGCTGATATGGGCCTTTAAGTGTGATGAAACTACTGTCACTTCCTGCCGTCAATCACATGAAAATCAACTACCTTCTTTTTTTCTCTGCATGTGTTTTTAATCGTAGATTTCTGCATCAGTCCTTTAGTGATTATTTGCTAAGCTTTATGAATAAACAATGCATTAAAGGGGTGAAATCATGAAGAATGGTGATATTGTTGCATGTTTATTATTGGACTTTGTTTTCTTAGATATTAAATCGATGATGCGTTCAAGTTGGTTGATTGTGACCGTCTCTTGGATAGTAGAAGTACTAGAAAGCTATGGATCCAAATCCATGTAATCTTGTGTTTTAAACCGCCTCTTATATTATTAAGACTTGTCTTTTTTGTAAATGGTCTATTAAGTTTAAATGGGTTCTGCATTTTTTTGGTATTTGCTACATAATATCAACAATGTTTGTTCACTTCATCTTTCATCATTTTTAGTTTTTTACAAACCATATCTCATGTTTTTGGTTCCTCAAATATGTTTTGTGGTTAATGCAGTACTTCTGGCTGCCCATTTGGTGAAGGATGCCACTTTTTGCACTATGTTCCTGGTGGCTACCATGCTCCTAGTCCGCTGACAAATATGGGTGGGCCTCTTGGGCGAAAATCCCAGATGCAGCAACCCTTCACCGATGGTCTGGCTCCTGCGGTAAAAAACAAGCTTTGCAACAAAATCAACACACCGGAAGGATGCAAGTTTGGAGACAAATGTCGTTTTGCCCACAGTGAGGCGGAGATTGGTGGTAGACCATCATTCCCAGGTTATGAAAACCAACGTGGTCCAATGAACTATGGAGGTGGTGGGTACCAAGCATCCCCACCTGGTTTAGCTGGTGCTAACTTCGGTCAATCTGCAACAGCCAAGATCAGCATCGATGCATCATTGGCTGGAGCTGTTATAGGGAAAGGTGGGGTAAACTCAAAGCAAATATGCAGGATTACAGGGGTAAAGCTGGCAATAAGAGATCACGAGACTGACGAGAATCAAAAGAATATCGAGCTGGAAGGAAGTTTTGATCAGATAAAACAGGCAAGTGCAATGGTTCGTGAGGTAATCATGAACCTTGGTGGTGGAAATGGTGGAGCAAGGAAAGGAGGTGGTGGAGGAAATAATTTCAAGACGAAGATGTGCGAGAACTTTGGGAAGGGACTGTGTACTTTCGGGGAGAGGTGTCATTTTGCACATGGACCAAATGAGCTTCGTACTTGATTTTATGACATGTTGAATTGTTGTAGTGATGGAATAATCATGTTCTAAAATTTTCATTTGGATTATTTGTTATATGTCAAGTTGTTATCTTATCAAAGACTAAGATGGATAGATGTACATTATATAAATCTTTGATTAGTTAAGAGAGCCTTTGGCTTTTTGTGCAAGGACTTCAAATCTTTGATTACTTTTTTTTTTCTTAATTAATTATCTATAGTATCTTATAAACTATATTTATCAAAAGTCTTGAAAAACAATTTTTAATACACAAAGTAAAGTATTTTTATGCACAAAGTTTTAAAAGTCTTAAAAACAACTTATAATGCATTAAGTATTACTATTTTATGTATTGAGTCTTAAAATCTCTTAATCTACAATTAAAATAACATATAGTGCAAGTTACTAATGTATATTGTTACCTTTTCTTTTCATGCTTCCAATATATTTTTTGACACTTTTCATTTATGTCATCACCCTTTCATACCTCTATGTCTTTTCTCCATCCCCCAAGGTGAGATCAAACTGATATTCACCATGAGTTATTAAAAGTTCTTTCATTCATCTCCTATTCAATTGCTCTATAACTCTCGGTCTCTCTCTCGATTTCTTGATTCTTTGCTCTTGGTGTAAATCCAACACATTTGTGAAGTCGCTTAAATATGTTGGATTTTAAAATATATTGGATTTTAAACTGTTATATAATTTTTTTCATCGATAGACTGCAATTGGAACCATAACTCTTATTTATTCAAATTGTATTAATATGTATAGACCAAGTGCAACTTATATCATCCTTAAATCTTCTCTAATAAAACAAGTGAAACTTCAAAATCGTTAAAATTCACGACTCCCGATGTATTGCACGGGTACACAACTAATTATATAATAAATATATTTTAAAACATACACATACAAAATTCCATAAACTATCAGCTACCCCATAAGGTTTCTAAATTAGATGTTTGCCTGTGCCATAATTTCTCTGTTTGGGGTAGTATTAGTAGTAATGACCTTACCATGCTTTGCATCTTCATATGGGACCATTTGCAGTGGTTAAAGTAGAGAATAACCAATAAAAATGGAATGTCAATACATACATAAATCTATATATCACATGTATAATTATATATATCTATACTATATTATAAAGCATTTGGCTAAAACTCTTAAAAACTCTTAAAACTCTTAAAAACTCTTAAAACTCTTAAATCCGTTCATCTCTATCCGATTTCATCCCATATCTGAATTC